TCTAGATTATATTAGTTAATTAGGAATAAAAAGACTCGTTTCTCTGTGGATTCGACCCTACTTCCCTATACACATTAGTTAGAGGATTTAGGAATTACTTTTGATTTGGGGATACGACTTTACCCTGTCAAAATTTGGCGCCGTTGCCAGGGAGACGGTTTTATTTTTGTTTCTGATTATTTTTGTAGTCTAGGTTATTTCTTTTTGTCTTAGAGAAAGTTAGTTCTTTGAGGCAAATCTCATATTTTCTTTTAGTTTTTTTTGTTTATGCCCAGGTGTTCCAGATCAGGGTACATCCATTCAACCCTGAGATCGAACGATCCTTCCATAGGTAGAAGAACCTTTACAAGCAAATTCTGGCAGACTCTGGTGATAATAATAATCACCGCGATCCTCCAACTAGTTCTAGCGATTTAGAGGTATCATCAGATCCAGAATCAGAAATGACGACTCCAAAGAAGCTTAGTGATTACTCACAACCAAAGCTTACAGATTTTCCACATCTCACTCCCACTCCGGCTCTTGATGGGGTACAATTTGAGATTAAACCCCAATTTATAACGATGATAGAGAGGAAGCAATTTAGTGGAGCTAAGGGTGAAGACCCAAATCTTCACATTGCCGACTATTGTCAATGTTGTAATACCATCAAGCAAGCCGGGGTCACACAAGACCAAATCAGCGAGATTCTCTTTCCTTTCTCTTTAACTGGAAAAGCCAAATTATGGTTTAATGGTTTAAATAGAACTGCACTTGGTATAATTGACTGGGAAACTCTTGTTTTGAATTTTTATAACAAGTATTATCCTGCGGAGAGAACAACCGTACTACGGAGTGCGATTCAGAACTTTGCCCAAGAAGCCGATGAATCTTTATATGAGGCTTGGGAGAGGTTCAAGGAATTACAAAGAGAATGCCCCCACCATAATTTGGCACAATGGCAGTTAATCCAAGCCTTCTACAATGGCATTGGAAATTCATCTAGAATATTTTTAGATTTTGCATCTAGTGGGAGATTTATGAATCTTAATGTTGATGATGCAGGTCAGGTTATTAAAATATGGCGATACATAATTCCCAATATGGGAATCCTAGAGGCTTTCCCAACAAGGGGAAGCATAGTGTTGACTCTGTATCCTTTTTTTAAGCTTAATTGACCTGTATCTGCCAAAAATTAGATAATCTTAGCACTGCTAATGTAGCTAATGTTTCTGCAATTAATAATAATGCTAATGAGGCTTTCTGTGAAAATTGTGGAATTATAGATCATTGGGAACAAGACTGCAGGAGTTCCGTGGAGCAAGTTAATGCCTTTCAAGCTTATAGGCAGAATAACCCATACTCCAAAACCTACAATCCTGGGTATCAGAATCATCCGTACCTTTCCTACCGGAGTACTAATGTTCAAAATCCACCACCACAAGAACCACAGGCGCCACAACAACAACAGCAGAAATATTACCATCCCAATGCTGGCTAAAAGAACCAACCTCAACAATCCTCATGTTCCGACCTCGCTTTGGTAGAAATTAGAGCGATGCTGGTTAATATGAAGAAGCACATGGAGAGTAGAGATGCGCAAATTAATTCAATTCTAGCATATAATAAAATTGTAGATGATGAAATTGCGCAACTTTCCGCTACTCTACAAGCCCGCCAACAGGGAGTTCTGCTGGCACAGCCGACCAGGCCTACGGGTCAAGCCTATGCAACTACTCTAAGGAGTGGTTCAAACTATGAATGGCCCCCTATGCCTAGAGTTGATGAACCTGTATTATTAAGTAATGCTAATCTTGATTCCGTTAACCCAGACAATGTAGCTAATAGCCCTGCAGGGCTAAAGCATAGTACTAACATATCTAATTCTACATTGCAGAGTGCGACTCCAGAGAAGGTGGCCACTCCAGATAAGATCAATAATGCTCCAAAGCCAGTTATCAAACTCCCATTAACCAATCGTCACTTGAAGACAAACTTGGATAAGTAGTTTGGTAAGTTCCTGGAGATGGTAAAAGATTTGAAGGTAACACTTCCCTTCACTGAATTAATCACACAAATTCCTTCATATGCAAAATTTATGAAAGAAACATTGAGAAGAAAAAGGTCTATTAGTGAGGTAGAGACAGTAGTTTCACTGTAGAGTATAGTGCCGTACTTCAAAATAAATCTCCACCTAAGTTAATTGATTGATAATTGATAAGTGACTTTTATGTCACTTCTAGGGTGTTTATTGAGTCATTTTCCGGCTTATTTTCCAATAATTTAGCTCATTTTGTTCTTTATTTCTATTATTTGCTTATTCTCATCTTTTATCTTTATATTATGTATTTTAGTAGTTTTTAATAGTTTATAGCTTTTTTTCTTAATTTATTTAATTTTTATTATTTTCTATGTTTATATTTTATGTTTTTAGTTCTTGTTATATAATAAGTTCCTAGTTTCTCACATTATTTTCTTATTTGTTTTAATTTAGTCATTTATTTTGTTTTACTAATTTTATTTTATTTTTACTTCGTTTTATTTTATTATATTTTGTTCTATCCTCGTGTCGGTTTTTGGTTGTAGGTGTGTTCGGGTTACTTAGTTCTATTTTATTTTTCTCAATCCCTTTCTTCGATTTTATGTGTAGGTGTTCGGGTTTTATGTCAAGTGATTTCGGCTTCCGAATTCATGTCAAAAGTCAATAGCCACTTCCACACACCAAACAACCATCAGAGTAGCACCAATAATGAACCACCTTACCACCACCGCACCCAAGCATTACAACACCTGCTCTACCGCACATCAACCCCGCAACAGCACTCAAATCAATCTGCAGCAGCACCCCCTGCTCCTCCTTCTCATACCCACACTTCAGCCACTCATCACCTCACGCACACCATAACGACAACCACCAATTAACAGCTACACCAGCAGAGCAGCCGCGCCATCGTTCTCAATCACCGATTAGCAGCTACACCAGGTCAGGCCGCCACAGCAACAACCAATTCAACCTGCTCCTCCTAAGACGCCAACAGTAGCAGCTCTGAGAAACCACTTTCGAACCTCAATTCCGCCGCTGCAGCCACCACAATTTGAACTAAATCTCAACCCCCTCTCTTCACCATTTCAGAAACAATCAAACCTCAATAAAACCCCAATTTGAATGGAGTTATACGCGGGCGCGCAGCTCTGTCAGAAGGCGCACACATAAGACTCCAAAACAGATTGTAGGCAGTAAGTTATGCGCGACCAATGCGCGACGTCTTCGCGGGCGCGCAAATGTGGGTTCAATCACGAGCTTCTCACGTGATTTTAATGCAGATCGAACGGCCTTGATTTGATTCTTAATGATTGACGATGATGATGAGCGGTAATGATTGAAGATGATAATGGTTGGTGATGATTGATGAAGACGATCAAACGGTGGTGATGTGGAATTCAGAGCAGCCAAGTATCGAAGAGGAGAGTTTGGGGTCTGACTATTTTTTGGTGGGGATTTATGGGTTTCTTTATCATCTTTATTTATTTATTTATTTATTTATTTATTTATTTATTTTTGTTTCCTTTCTCCTAATTTAATTCCTTAGTTTTATTTTCTTCATTTTATTTTCCTTTCTTTTATTTTATTAAGTTAGTATAAATACCCATTTTGGGGGGAAATTAAAAGGGGGGCTCTTTTATTCTATTTTTCTTACTTAGTTTAGGAGAGATTCTCTCTCTTAGGGTTAGATTAGATAATTTTTAGAGCGAGAAAATAGATTATTGCTCAATTTTCTTCCAAGATTAAACTTTGCTCAAGTTTAAGTTTCAATAATCAAGCAAGAATTCAAGTTTTCATCTTTCGTTAATCCTTTCTTTAGTAATCTTTTTCTCCTTTCCTTTAGTTTTATTTATTTGTTTTATTGTTGTTTATTCTTGTTAATCTTATTAGTTCATCTAGTTGTATATTGATTTCATTGATTTTAATTATGTTTTGTTTTGAGTTTCTTGAGTTTATTTCTAGTTTTGATATTGTGTTTAATCTCCCTTCTCTAGGCTAAACTTTTGGCAAAGGGAAGGGGGTGGAATATATGGGTTGATATTGGATGAATGATGATGGTTGGATTGAACTTATGACATATATTGATGAAAGACATGATTTTTATAAGCTTGGGATTATTGTTGCACTCTATTTGATATTTTCTAGTTTAAATGCATGAAAGTGATTTGAACTAGATTAGGATCGCCTCTATTTTAATGATTTCATGAGAATGAGTTATTAAAGTGGAGTTTTTTATGGATTGTGCTTCTTTATTCTCTTGATTTGATTATAACTAATAGGATGCATGAGAATGGTCCTTATTAGTGTAGATCTCTTTCATGGATTTGCCTAGACTATTGCATGAGAATGAATTGTTTAGGTAGAATCTTGTGTTCTTTGGCATATGTTTCATGATAATCACCATTATTCTCCTCTTTCTAATCATATTGGAAAACCCCGTATCCCTAGCGTCGTTTTCTATTGATTTTAATCATCATTTTCTTGTTATTTGTAGTTTTACTGTTCTTACTCAACAAAACCAACAAAAACAATCCCCTTTTCACTCTTGCATTAGTGATATTTGATGTTGAATTAGCGTGCTTCCTTAGTGGTTTGACCCTTTACTTGCCACTAACTAGTTTAGTGTAGGTTTAGGTGTTATAAATGATTAATTTGGTTAGGGTAGTAGCTTAACGACCTATCTAACCCGCGATCAAATTTTGACGTCGTTGCGGGGGAAGCGGCTTGTTTAGCGTCTATTTTTGCTATTGTTAGAGTCACTTTATTTGCTTTCCTTTCTTTTATTTTGCTTTTTTAATCCTACTTGTCATTGCTAATCGTGTGCTTAGCTTTGTTGTATTCAAAGTGAGATATGGCAAGATAAGAGGATGACCTTCTTTTTAGGGAGTTTGGAAATCCGGAAATCTATGAGCTCACGAGTGGTATACTTCTCCCGACCACCAAAACTAATTTCACAATCTATCCACAATATGCTAGGATGGTGCAAATTGAGCAATTTTCCGGAGGCGTAAGTGAAGACCCGATTGAGCATTTGGTCCGATTCCTTGAGTTGTGTGCAATGATGCAAACAAATGAAGTGAGCCAAGATTTCATTCGTAGTCATCTCTTTCGGCAATCTCTCACCGGAAAAGCAAAGAAATGGCTCAAGCTTTTGAAGCCCAACTCTCTCACCACATGGAAGGAAGTTGCAAAGGCCTTTCTCAAGAGGTTCATTTTCAATGAGAAAACCGCAAAAATGAGGAGGAAGATAGCTTCCTTTGAGCAGGAACCGGATGGAACTCTTTGGGAAGCATGGGAAAGGTTTAAGGATTTGATTAGAGCATGTCCTCATCATGAATTCAACCGTAATTTGCTAATGAGATTCTTTTATGATGGCTTGGAGCCAATGTCAAGGACCAATCTAGATGTGGGTGCCGGTGGCTAATTGATTAAGATCCCTCAAAGCCGAGTTGAAGCTACAATTGAAGAAGTGGCTACTAGCTATTCTTGGGGAGGCCAAAGAAGGTCCCAAGGGAAGCAAGGAGATCTTTATGAGTTGGAGAAAGTCGGCCAACTTAAGCACATAGTTGAGCTCTTGAATGAAGGTCTTTCCAAGTTGAACTCAAGTGTTGGTTTGTGTTCAAAACCTTCACAAATCATTGATTTCTCATGTGCTCGTTGTGGTGGGATGGATCATGATACATCCTATTCTAGAGAGTTCAATCTCAAGCATGGTGAAGTTTTGACTTTGAGGGAAAAAGAGTTTGTAACCCAAGCTCAATCCCAACAACTTCAACAACCTCCAAGGCAAGAAAACTCCTACCCCCAAGATGGACCTCTCTTCAATCCATCAACCCAAAACTTTTCCTACCTTTCCAACCAAGTAGAGAACTTTCAAGATCAAAATCATGACCTATATCCTCAAGAGTATGAAGAAAAATCCCTACCCGACCACACACAAACCCAAATTCTTCAACAACGTCAAACTATTACTCCACAATTCCAAGAAATAAATTCTTACAATGAAGTTGTTGATTCCCAACTAGCCCAAACTTCTTCTCTCCATTTAACCACAAAACTCCCCTTACAATCATCTACTAACCCTTCACATACTTATCAACCCGAAACTTGCAAGGAGGACAAGGTTGTAGATGATGTGGTTGAGAAGAAGGTTCAAGAACAAAATGAGGAGCCATTTGATTTTAGTGAACCAAACAAGTTTGAAGGCCCGGTTCCCTTTCCTTGTAGGCTAGCTGAGAATGTCGTTTTGAAGAGCCCTATGGCGGTGAGAGTATGTAGAGTTGATGTGGTCAATGATGTGATGGCTAATGAGAGCTTACCTCCACGTGATGATAAGGTGATAATGAGGTATGATGACTTCCTTGAAGTTCCCGCTTGGTTTGAAGGCTCTCTTGGCGAAGGTGAGGTTGCCCTTCCTAATATTGAGGATTCCAAGCTCGATACCCCTTTTCGAAGGAAAAGAAAGAAGAGTGAAAAAAGAAGAAGATTCAACAAGATGATGGGAAAGAGAAAAGATGAGCCACCATTGGCTCTTGATTCATTCCCTCCTTTTCCTTGTGGTGATGTGAGACCTCAAGGAGTTCTAGTTCTCAAGCTTAGGGGCATCTATGATTCAATCCTCAAGTTGATTAGGGTGATGTTCTTTAACCCACCTTGAATGAGGTGAAGGGTCAAGCTAGAGACCATAAACAAGCGCTTCCCGGGAGGCAACCCGGAGGATTTCTAACCCTTTTTCTCCCCCTCCTTCCTTTTTCTTTTTGCTTTATCTCTTTGTTCTCTTTTAATATTTTCTCTTGTGTCTTATATTGCTTTGTAGGTTTCTTTTTGGAAGTTTGGAGCGGAGTGACATTTGGTGAACTCTATTTTTTGCTTTATCATTAGATTATTGTTGCACTCTATTTGATGTTTTCTAGTTTAAATGCATGAAAGTGATTTGAACTACATTAGGATCTCCTCTATTTTAATGATTGCATGAGAATGAGTTATTAAAGTGGAGTTTTTTATGGATTGTGCATCTTCATTCTTTTGATTTGATTGTAACTAATAGGATGCATTAGAATGGTCCTTATTAGTGTAGATCTCTTTCATGGATTTGCCTAGACTATTGCATGAGAATGAATTGTTTAGGTAGAATCTTGTGTTCTTTGGCATATGTTTCATGATAATCACCATTATTCTCCTCTTTCTAATCATATTGGACACCCCCGTATCCCTAGAGTCATTTTCTATTGATTTTAATCATCATTTTCTTTCTTATTTGTAGTTTTACTGTTCTTACTCAACAAAACTAACAAAAACAATCCCCTTTAACTCTTGCATTAGTGATATTTCATGTTGAATTAGCTTGCTTCCCTAGTGGTTCGACCCTTTACTTGCCACTAATTAGTTTAGTGTAGGTTTAGTATTATAAATGATTAATTTGGTTAGGGTAGTAGCTTAACGACATATCTAACCCACGATCAATAATGCATTGTTTGATTTGGGTGCTAGCGTTAGTGTTATGCCATTATCTGTGTGTTCCAAGTTGAATATGGGTAATATTACTCTACAAATGGCCGACCGTTCTTTCAAATACCCCTTAGGTGTTATAGAGGATGTCCCTGTTAGAATAGGTAAATTTTATATACCTGTTGATTTTGTTGTTCTTGATATGGCTGAGGATATGCAAACCCCGATTATTTTGGGTAGACCATTCCTTAACACGGCAGGAGCAATTATAGATGTGAGAAGTGGTAAATTAACACTATCAGTAGCGGACGATAAAATTATTTTTAATCTTAATAATATCCCTAAAAGCCCCATGACAGAGGAGAAATGCTTTAGTGTTAATGTGGTTGAGAATTATTCTAACAAGCCCCAAGCTCTTGAAAAAGATCCCTTGGAGGCGGTATCTTGTGTTGCATCCCTTTCAGATGAGACAGACAAATGGCAGAAGGAAATTGATGCAATAGAAAGAGCCCTCTACAGTGTCGGTCTTGGTTTTGAGGATGAAAAGGTGGAATCAATCAAGCAAGTTGTGCAAATTGAGCCTACGGTAAGTGTTCCGCCAGATCGAGTTGCAAGTGTTGAATGCAATGACAATTTGAAGCAACCCTCGATCAAAGAAGGATCTTTTGTGCATAGCATTGAAGAACCCCCAACCCCAGTCAAGGAGGATCCACCAGATAAGGTGAATTGGTGACCCACAGGGCATGTCAGGAAGTTGCGTCGTAGTCAAAACACCGCTCGACCAGGTGAGAAACCGCCCAATCAAGCGTTAGGCTAAGGGTCCTAGTTCTTGTACTTGGTAAGAAGGTCGTGAGGGACCTAGATAAACCATCGCTTTGCGGGAGGCAACCCGTATTTTTAATGGTTTTTAGACTAGTTTTTTCTTTCTTTTTCTTATAAGAGGAGAGATGAGGGAATTTAATGAGTTTTATGAGTTTTTGTACAGTTTTAAAGGAAAAGAGTTAGCCAAAAATTGAAGAAAAGAAAAAAGAAAATAAAATCGTCAATTAGCCTTGGGCCAGACCGGGCGCGAGAGCTAAGCTTAAAAATCGAGTATTTTCGCCCGACCTGGCGCGAAACTCGTCGTATACGGACAAAATTGTCCGCCCGATCAGGCGAGTCTCGCCCGACCGGTCGCGAGAAGTGGTGAAAATTTGAGCGTAAGACAGCCCGATCGGGCGCGAGAGTTGAATCAAAACGGGCATCTAGATCGCCCGAACGGGCGAAAGCCGCCCGACCGAGCACGAGAGCATGGAAGATATTTAAAATTAAATCGCCCGACTGGGCAAGTACCCGCGCGACCGGGCGCGACGCACCTGACCCCTCTTCTTCTTCTTCTTTCTTCTGTTTTTCTCATTTCATTCTTTCTCCTCCATAACTTTCTTTCTCTAAAACTCAAATTCTCTCTACCTTCTCTCTAAGATTCTCTCTTCATTTCTCACCAAATCCAAAACTTTTTACATATTTTTAATCCCCTCTTCATCCTCTACATTTCTATAACAAAATTTCCGAATTCCATTCAAATAAATTTACATACCCATTTTTACCATGGCTTCAAAGAGGGCTCGGTTTATTTTCGGTACGAGTTCTAGCTCGAGGGAGGAGTATGACCCGAATTTGCAACTCCGGTACTGGCCGACGATCCGTATTGCTAGCCAGGAGCAAAAGGAGCGGCTAGAACACCTAGTCGGGTGCGAGGTAATTCCTTCACGGTGGTTACACCGCCTTACTTTAGAATCGTTTGGTTTGTATAATTTTGTGAAACGGTTTTTAAATGACATAGGCATGAGAAAATTCGTTGATATGCATTATCCTACATACCGAGAATTAACTTGTGAATTCTTGTCTTATATGAAAGTTGTAAATAGTAGAAATGGACCGAATTTAATTTTTAGTTTGAACAATAGGAATATTAGTTTAACTTATGTGGAATTTTGTAAATTGTTTTAAATTAAAACCTTTAACGTCTAGGGCGAAGGCAAATTCGAACTTGGCTAGGTGTGTCTAGTGCTACTGTATGAGGAATTGTGTTTGTAAAAGAATTGGTTTAGAAAGAGAGAGAGAATCAAGAAATTTTTTATGAGAGTTGGTAAGAATTAGAAAGAATAAGAAATGATGTGTCTATTTTATATAGTATTTTACCCCCGTCCCTTGGTCATAATTAGTAGTGTTTTTGGCTTTTTAGAGCCACTTTTGTTACTAATTGGTGTTTTCTAGTGTTTTCGTAGATTTGGTTGACTTTTGCAAGGATTTGCACTTTTGGAGCATTTTCCCGAGATATTATAGAGCAAGCACGACCAGATTTTATAGCCTAGGGCCGGTTAGAGCCATCAAACCGGTGATTAAGGGCTTGGTATGTGTGATACCGAGGAATTTGGACCGAGTATTCAAGACCCGAAGAGGAAACCCAGATTGGCCGAAGAATTGGAGCCCAGTCGCAGTCCAGATAGTGTCCAACGAGAGCCGCCCGGCCAAAAAGGCTGGCGCCCAGAGGCGCGCCCGGCCGTGCGAGAGAGGCAAGGTCGGCGCCCGGACTGGCGCGATATGCGTACTGATGAGCAAAAAGGCGCGCCCGATCGGGCGCGTGTTATTATTAGGAGTTAATTTTGTCATTTAAGTTTGTTTTAGATTAGGATTCTTACGGAGCATAAATACTTCTCCGTAAAACGATTTTAGTATCTTCTTTTACCTTCTCTTTTAGATTTTCTCTCTCTACTTAGCTTTTAGATTAGTTTCTCTCTCTTATACTTTGTTCTCTACTTTATTCTGAATTCGAGATTTATTTTGGTAACGATTTCTCTTCTCTTAATCTTAGTTATTTATTTATTCCTTTGATCATGTCTTGTTTTACTGCTTTGATTAGTTTAGTTCCTATTATGTGTGAGTAGTTTTATTTCTAGGGTTTGTGGGGATCCATAAATAATATGAAGGGGTAATTTATTGTTCTTAATTTTCAATGCTAGATTAATTTCCTATTGATTGATTTAATGCTCTGTGACTAGATTAGGCCTGATCTTTTATGCATGAGTTTGACAATATTGATTCGAGATTTGATAGATGAGAATTGATGTTTAGGTCTAGTTTCAATAGGCAAGTTAATTTTTAAATGGTTAAGTCGAGATTCGAAAGATGAGATTTAATACTGGTAAATTAATTGTGTGATTGTAATATGTAGGGAAAGCCCTTTATAATCTGATTAATGTATGGATTGATGAATGATTATTATATTCTACCTTGGAATATTATTTCTTGGTCACCCTATGCCCTAGAGCCTTTTATTCATTGTTTTCTCCCTACTCTTAATCTTTGTAGTTTAGTTTCATATTCAAATTCACATATTGGTTACTTTATAATTTAGATTAATTAGTTAATTAGAAACAGAAAGACTCGTTTCTCTGTGGATACGACCCTACTTCCCTATCTACATTAGTTAAAGGATTTTGGAATTACTTTTGATTTGGGGATACGACTTTACCCTGTCAAAATTTGGCGCCGTTGCCGGGGAGACGGTTTTATATTTGTTTCTGATTATTTTTGTAGTCTAGGTTATTTCTTTTTGTCTAAGAGAACATTAGTTCTTTGAGGCAAATCTCATATTTGCTTTTATTTTTTTTGTTTATGCCCAGGTGTTCCAGATCAGGGTACATCCCATTCGATCTTGAGATCGAACGATCCTTCCATAGACAGAAGAACCTTTAAAAGCAAATTTTGGCAGACTCTGGTGATAAAAATAATCATCGCGATCCTCCAACTGGTTGTAGTGATTCAGAGGTATCATCAGATCCAGAATCAGAGATGACGACTCCAAAGAAGCTTAGTGATTACTCACAACCAAAGCTTACAGATTTTCCACATCTTACTCCCACTTCGGCTCTTGATGGGGTACAATTTGAGATTAAACCCCAATTTATAACGATGATAGAGAGGAATCAATTTAGTGGAGCTAAGGGTGATGACCAAAATCTTCACATTGCCGACTATTGTCAATATTGTAATACCATCAGGCAAGCCGGGGTCACGCAAGACCAAATCAGGGAGATTCTCTTTCCTTTCTCTTTAACTTGAAAAGCCAAATTATGGTTTAATGGTTTAAATAGAACTGTACTTGGTATAACTGACTGGGAAACTCTTGTTTTGAATTTTTATAACAAGTATTATCTTGCGGAGAGA